GATGAGAGACGAAACGTTTCTAGATTTTTTTTGCTTTGTTTTGTTTTTTGTTTTTTTGAATGTCCAGAGGACCAGATTGAACTTTTTTGGATTTTTCTACCTGGATTATTGAGCATGCATCAGGAAACTCTAGTAAGGTTTGATTAATTTGTAAAATTTCTTCGGGTGAAAATGAGTGTAAAAAGGGAATGTCTCTATGTGGGGGTGTGGTGACGGGTGCCGCCCCCACCAGAAACCTGGAAGGTGAGGCGGCGGAACACCCCCCCACGGAGTCACTGGGAATACGCTCGGGAGGTACGGTCAGGCTGGGTCGGACAGCCACGGCGCGGAGTGGTGGTGAGAGGCCGGATTCCGCCCCCACCAGGAACCTGGAAGGTGAGGCGACGGAACCCGCCCATGTGGTGTCAAGTGGACCGGAGTCACCGAACCGAACAGGAGTGGACCGGAGCTCCCGCGGGACGTTGGATCTCGCCCCCACCGGAAACCTGGGAGGTGAGGTGGCGGATCCCGCTCCCACAGAAACACCGGAACCAGCTCTAAAATTCTGCTCAGTCGACGAGACCGTGCCGGTCGCTGCGGACCGCCTCCGGAACCGTTTTCTGCCACTACGGCGGCAGTGGGATGGCAGAAGGACAGGGACTGAGTGGAGCTCGTCCATCTATGGCTCGTGGAGGGAAAAAGAAAAAAGGTGAGTTTGCCGAGAGAGACCCTGCCCGCTGGGTTCTGGTCTGGTCGCGTCGTAATGTTAGGATTTTCTAGGCAGGAGTGAACCCAGTAGTGCAGACATGGACTCAACTCGGCAGAATACAAAAATAGGAATTTAATGAGAAAATAAAGATACAAAATAACAGGCTGACGGGGCAGCAAAACTTACATGAACAGGAAGATAAGGCACGGGAAACTCAGGAGGACTCGGGGGACACGGAAGACTCGGGGAACTCGGAAAACTCGGGGGAACACAGGAGACCCAACGAGTACGACGTGACAACGAACAAGACTGACAGACGGATTATATACAGGGACAAGACGAGACGTGATTACGAACAGCTGGGATGAGACAAGGGCACTAATTGAACTAACGAGGGAGCACAAGGAAACACAGACACAAACCGGGCCACAAAAAGGTACCATCCTTACAGACCTACAGCCAAATATTGAGTCAAATACAAGCTTAAGAAAAACTGCTTGTTGAGGGAGGTCATTCCTACGGTTTATTTCATTCTATTTTGATCCTCGTCACCTGTTGCTGGAATGACATTCCTCTTGACGTATTCCATCACTTTAATGGAGTCGACAAACACCTTGTCCATTCCTCCATGTGTTATGTGAAGCTGTTCAGAAAAAAGAAGTCCATACCAGACACCTGGTCGGTTCCACAGGAGTCGCCTCACCTCCGTGGACACCTCAACCCATCCACTTTATTTTTCAATTCCACACGTCCCATGCTGGGCCTCCACCTCATCTGAGCATAAAGACAGTCCGGTTTCAGTCTCTGAAACACTTGACTCGGTCAAATTCTGCCTTGAGGTCGGTGGAGGAATTAACAAGTTCCGCTCGGACCACCGGCAATTCGCTCCTAATAAAATTAAAATCTTCCATCAGAGCCGCCTTCATCTCCATCCTAATTATTGCTGTGAATTCAGATTTAATTGAAGCCAGAATGTCTGACTTCAGAGCCGACTCAACTGTTCCTCCAGAGTCCGGCGAAGGTGGGGCTGACACACCTGAAGATCCACCTGCTATACTCACCGCCTCTCCATCACAGCGGCCCGAGGCTGCAGTTTTGACAACAGGCTGCACGGGTGAAGACACTGCTGCCTTAAAATTTCTTTAGCTTAGAGGCCATGCTACAACTCTGTCGAGTCAATCATGCGACAACACCAATCTCAGAGGCAGAATCCAGCATGGAAGCAGTGAGAATATGATTATAAAAGGCAATTTTTCAGTGGGGCTGATGGGAGCCTAGCAAAATGCAGTTCACTGATCAGCGGCCATCTTGTGCCCCTAGTTTAAATCTTTCTTTGTTACATTTTTGATTAAGTACATTTACGTGTATTCAGTGTTGTTAAATGAAATAAATGTTTTAAGAAATATTTTTAACATTTTAATCTAGGCTCTGTCCTCTTGATTTTCCTACTTTTACTATAGAAAAACTTTATGAGATGCATCAATAATAATCAGTCTAAGGTTGCATTGTCATCTGGGTGTATCACCACCATGATGACATCTGGACCTTCAATGCCTCCTGCTGATGCAGTCCTTGGTATCCTTTCTGATGATATCAGGACTTCCTTCATCCTGGTTCCTCTTTGAGTTACGAGTATTTACTGGGAATATTCCACCATCTTCATTCCACAGTGCCAAATGGTGGCACCTACCACTGCATACCTTTCATTCTGACACCTGCAAAAAAATGGCCTGTCTTGTGTGGGATTTTTCCTTCTGCCTGGCTCCTGAGTTAGTGGGGACACTCTCCTCTATGTTACAGAGTCCTGATAACTCCTAACTTGTGTTCCAGAGGGTGATGGGGGTCTAACTGCTGGTCTGTGTGGGTGGGTTTGTGGTACACCTCGATTTGCAAATGTCCTCCGTCAGAATCTGAGACCTCACAGTCCAAGAAAGCCAACCTGCCATTTTTTACATCTTCTCATGTGAACTTTATATATTTATCCACAGAGTTGATGTGATCAGTGAAATGTTGGACTTCCTGAGATTTAATTTTAACCCAGGTGTCGTCAACATACCTGAACCAATGACTTGGTGGTGTCCCAGAAAAGGACGTCAAGGCTCTTACCTCCTCCATGTACAGGTTGGCAACAATAGGAGAAACTGGAGACCCCATAGCACACCCATGTTTCTGCCTATAATATTGCTCCCCATATGTGAAGTAGGTTGACTGCAGGCACAGTTTCAAGAGTTGACAGTTGCTCGATGGAAAGCATGGTCCTGCTGCTCAGAGTGGTGTCTGATTTTACAGACCACCTCTACTGCCTCATCAACAAGAATGCATGTAAAGAGGGATGTGACATCAAAAGAGACCATTGTTTCATCAGTCTCCATGATGACATCCCTCACCTTATCCTCAAAGTCCATGGTGTTCTGTATATGATGTTCTGAGCTGCCAACTAAATGGTAAATGGACTGTACTTGTATAACGCCTTTCTATCTGATCAAGATACTCAAAGCGCTTCATTTACCCATTCATACAGCACTCTACTAGATCTCTACAAAGCTGGGGGAGTGGTGGCGCAGAGGTTAGAAGATGGACCTGTGATCGGAAAGTTCCAGATTCAACTCCCGGTACCGTCAACATCAAAATGTGGGTGGAAACGGTGAAACACCCACACCTGCCTCCACCCTCATTCGCCCCACTCTGGGCCCCTGAGAACAGACGCCAGATAATGATTTATCTGGCATATGTATTATCTCATACCATAATCTGTACTCATCCCTTTAGTTGTTACCCCAGCAGATGATGGCAGAAGAGATAGCACTCTCTATGACAGAGAAAATATGCAGCATCTTGAGCAACAAACAGAGGAAACGGTGTATGACCAGCCTACAGAGATTAGCTCATTAAGGGGAAGTTGTCTATTAAAAACACTTGTCAGACTCGTATAATTCAGTTTGAACATATTGCAGATGATAATACATCAGTACAGATATTACTGATATAATTTTGCACTGATTTTTTTGTTTAGTGAATGAACATTAGTTTAAAAATATTTATGGAAAATGAGATGAATTTTTCCTACATTACTCTTGGAGGTTTTGTGGAACTTAACAAATACTGGTATTTGTATTTTACAATTATGTTTACAGTATATATTTTAATCATCTGTAGCAATTCAGTTATTGTGTATCTGATCTTGATGAACAAAAGCCTCCATGAGCCCATGTACATTTTCATTGCAGCTTTGTTATTTAACTGTGTTTTTTACAGCACCATTGTTTACCCAAAGCTCCTGATTGATTTTTTATCTGAAAACCAGATTGTTTCATATTCAGCATGCCACTTCCAGTTTTTCATGTTTTATTCCATAGGTGGTTCTGAATTCATGCTATTGGCTGTGATGGCTTTTGACAGATATGTGTCTATTTGTAAACCACTAAGATATCCAACAATAATGAGAAAAACTACAGTCAACATTTTGCTGGTTCTTGCATGGATTTTGCCTGCTTGCCCTATTGCAGTACAAGCAATACTAAGTGCTAAATCTAAAATTTGCAACTTTAGGTTAAATGCAATAATTTGCAACAATGTCATTTACTCAGCTCATTGTGTGAGATCAAAACCAATTGCTCTTTTTGGGGTTGTTGCTTTAATATTTATTATAATACTTCCACTATTGTTTACAGTTTTTACATATACAAAAATATTTATAATGTCATATAAAAGTTGTAGAACATTGAAGAAAAAAGTTGCTGAGACCTGCATACCCCACCTAATGGTTTTAATTAGCTACTTCTGTTTTATGGCATATGATGTAATTGTAGCTCGACTGGAGTCTAATTTTCCTCAAATTGTTCGCTTTATAATGACATTGCAAATACTTCTGTATCAGCCTCTGTTTAATCCATTTATATATGGTTTGAAAATGAAAGAAATTTTCAAAAACCTTCAAAGGTTGTTTTGTTCAGATAAAATCTGATCTCAAATTTGTTGTAATTTTAAAACAACAGTTTGTTATGAACAGATTTGTTTAGACATATTTCTTTTGTTTATGTGAGAAGAACTTGACATTTTTAAATGTCATAATGTATACTTTGTTTACTGGGTTACTAAAGTGAATACCAAAAATTGCAGACATTTCAATGTTGATTTTTTTTCTTAGCTTTACAGTCCTCAAATATAAGAAGACTCATTGTTTCTGCAGTTTATAACATCCATCCATCCATCCATTATCTTTACCCGCTTATTCCATTTTGGCTCACGGGGGTCGCTGGTGCCCATGTCCAGCAATCACTGTGCGAGGGGCGGGGTACACCCTGGACGGGTCGCAAGTCCATCACAGGGCCACATAGAGACAAACAAGACAAACAACCATTCACTCTCTCCCTCACACCTAGGGACAATTTAGAGTTACCAATCAGCCTAACATGCATGTTTTTGGTCTGTGGGAGGAAACCGGAGCACCCGGAGAAAACCCACGCATGCACGGAGAGAACATGCAAACTCCACCCAGAAAGACCCCTGGACCGGGGTTTGAACCAAGGACCTGCTCGCTGAGAGGCAGCAGCTCTACCAGTTGTGCCACCGTGCTGCCCGCAGTTTATAACATTCAAGTCAAATTTATTTGTATAGCACATTTAAAACAGGAAATGTTACCATACTGCTTAACAAAATGATCACAGCATCAAATAAAAATTACAAGATATAATAACAGTATCAGGAATAAAAACATAAAAACACAAAAAATATTTGAATGCATGGACTAATTTTTCAAGGCTGAATCTAGTAAGCACAGACTTAAGCTTAGCTATCTGCCTTAGCTGAAAGAAGCTTTTTTGAAGAACAGAGTGACATTGGCAGAGCTAGGGTTAAACACAATGACCTGTTTTCTGATGATTAAAACTCTAGACGTTTGCAGCCATCCATGTCTTGATGTCATCAAGACATTTTAGCAAAGGGTGAATGGAGCAGGAACTGTTGGGTTTCAAGGGCTGATAAACCTGAGAATCATCAGCATAACAATGAAAGGAAAGACCATGTTTCCTCGGGATAGACCCTAGGGGGAGCAGATACGTTGAAAACAGAAGGGGTCGAAGAATGGAACCTTTCAGGACCCTGCAGGAAAGAGGCACTGAAGTAGATAGACAGTTAGCAACATTAACACAGAAACTCCTGTTGCTCAGGTACGAACGGAACCATTCTAACGGTGCACCAGCAATGTTCCCTCTAATTTTTCATGTGTCTGGGCAAACACACAAGCTCCCTGAGCGCACTGTAGACCACTGCAACATCAGATGTGCACGCTGTGGTCACACACCAGTATCATACCTGTTCCAAACCTGGGACCATAGCAAGTCACATGGCTTATTAAATTAATCAAATTACAGCAGCAATTTTCATTAGTTTACTCTTAATATAAGTGATTTGGCCCACATCAAATGAAAAAGACAATAATTTTGTTGTTCATGAGATGTGTAGTATTTTATATGTAAGGGTCCTGCTCTGAAAGATGGTTTGCAACATGGTGGCTATTGGTGTCAGAAGCATATTTGTAATGTGGGGAAGACACACTGGTGTGGGGTCTGGGGGTTCTCCCCCAGAAAATTCTGAATAAAGTAGAAGCCATTTTCTGCATTCTGATGTATTTTAACAGGTTGTTTAATATCTACCGTAGTTTTACCTGCACAAGTAAACACTTGATTCAGTAACTATTTTAGAGTTAATGGCACAAGACCTGCCTGACCAACAGCTCTCCTTGTGTGACTAGAGCATGCTCTGCTTCTCTCACACATCCTAGTCACAGTCTAAGAAACACAGTGAAGCCTAAGTGGCCTAGCATAAAGCAATATGATCATCATCCATCGTGTTTATTAGTAGCTTAAAATACCTAATTAAAACTCCAGTAGTGGGCTAGGTCTACTGTGTAGTGAACTAGACCTCCGACATCAATTTTTCTCTGAAGACCTTCAGGGGACAGGAACTGTTATTTCATTGATTTGAATCCAGAAATACAAATTATCTCATCAAGAGACTATTTAATTGTATCCTGAATTAATCAATTGAAAGAGCACTCTTCTTTTTTATATTATTACTATTTTACAATATCTTGATAATCAAAGTGTGTTTAGTTCATACCATTTCTAATGTTGAAGTAAACCACTCATTTAAATCAACTGTGAAACAGTATTAATGATTTTTAAACCTCATTAGACTTAGATCATACAAGTTAAATGTCTATTTACGAAGTAAGTGTGCATTTTAATCTTCTGTCTGAGTGAGGAGTGGATTTAATGTCGGTCAAATGTCAGAGAATAAGTTATGAGAACGAAGTGCCTTGTTTTTAAAACTCTCAGACAGTAAATAAGAAACTGGCACCTGCAAAGTCTGTCATTTCTTCAAAATATTTTCCTGTCTGTACTAACCGTTCTTAAAAACATTTCTGCTGTCTGTTGACTCCTAATAACCCTCTGACATCATATAAAACACCACCCCTGCTGGTTGTACTAACCAATCAGGAAGTACCAAGTGACAGGAAGTGGATACCCTTTAAAAGTCAACACTTCTTGGAACTATTCAGTCTTCCTGGAACTTTCAGCCTTACTGGAAGACTCAGTCTTACTGGGGTCTCAGTCTGATGGCGAGTCATACAGGAACTTTCAGTTCTTACTGAAAGTCAGCTTTGGAGTATGGAATTGGACCATGTGCCAAGGGTCCGTCCATTCCAGCAGAGTCACAGCTGCCTCTCTGTGAACTCACCTGGGCATAACGCCCTACATCTTCTAATGAAGATTCCTTCTAAGGAAGCTTATTCTGTTGAACGGAGTACTTCGTCACGACTTCTGAAGTTATCCAGCCACTCTGACCGGAGACGCTGAAAGAAGCGTGAAATGGACCTCTGTACCGGAGCTGATTTATCTTCTGCCAAGGTAACAAGTCGTCACATGCTGAGTGTACCGAGGGCTGAGCTGGATTCGGAGGAAGGGTGCCATTCCGGGTCAACACATCTTCCTTCATCCATCTAAACCTCCTCTTTAAATCTTTAAACTTCTTTACTCCTCTTTAAACTTCTATTCGCCAGTAAATCAAGTTAAGTGCCTTCAGAGATGAATTATTCTCCATCAGTAATCTTCTGTTGTCTTGTTTAGTAAATCTTGCTAAGTTTATTAATCAGAAACAGATCAGCAAATCGAGTGTACATGTTTGATGTTAAATTTTGATTCTGTTAAATAAATGACCGCATTTATTCTGATGGGTCAAAGATAAAATGGAGTCTCATGTCACTAATTCCACACTCCACTCTCAAGTTATCTTGGTCACATGGCAGAAATTTAACTCGAAAAAGAACGAATCCGTTGTTAATTAAAGAATTAATATTCTTTGTGCTTGAACTAGCTTTAAGAATAATTAATTAGTAGTATGTCCGCAGCAAAGCTGTCCCTCTCATACTACATTTTGGTGGCTTGTACGGTTTCTGAAGAGATAAATTATGTGTGACCTGATAAGGTGGAGAAACGCTTCATATTGGCACATAAAAAGCCCAAGTTTTGACCTTGGTAAGACATATTTTATGGCTGTGGTGTTCAGAACGATACAGAATTGTGTTGATGTTCATTTGAAGCTGGAAATTGTCATTCTGTGTGTGTGTGTGATTAAGCTGTAAGCAGAGATAAAGACGCATCATTCTGTTTGAAACTCTTTCATAACCGGTTCCGACAAGGTTCTAATTATTGGACTCGAACGAGTTGTGTTTTAAATGGTGAAACGTTGTCTGTGAAACTGAGCGCTGACTCAGAAAGCTGCTGATTTGCTATTTTCTACAGTTAATTTGTGCATTTTTGAAGCATTAATGGGTGAAATTATCGCCGGACTGTTGAAGCTAACAGCTAGCTTACACAAGTACACATGAGCTGTGATTGGTCGAGGACCGCTCGGTGAAACGTTCTGATTTGCTGAGAAGCTGGTGACGTAACGCCGTGTACGTCCACTCACTCTGGCGTCAGTGCGAAAAGCCCACCCCGATGTCCACGTGTCTGTAAAGTCACGTGACCCCGGAAATGAAGCTCATTTTTAACGGAGTCTTTTATAAGTGGTTTAAAAAAGCTGAATGATAGCCTCAAATCGGTCCTAACCTGATGAGTTTATGCCTAAAGAGCATGTTTTTGAAGCGACGCCACTTTCATGCTTTAAATCCGTCTATAAATGCTGATTTGGACCATGTTCATCCATTGCTAATCGAAGCTAACGGATAACGACCGGATGTCAACAGGACGGTTCACAGGAAGTCGTCAGTGACTCCTACCATCGAAGACGTGTAGCTACAGTCACCCTGTGGTAAAAATAAGCTTGCACCACCACCTGCTGTGGAAAACAGAGTATTACAGTTTTTCAGAACTGAGAGCTGCAAACTTGCTTTTCATTTCATTTCTTTTAAAAGCATGTGGGTAAATTAAAAGGTTAATCACGCCTGGTTTATGAGTTACTGTTTTAAATAGCAAATTCTGGTAAATTAAACTGTTAAAGAGCGTTTGAAACTACAAAGTTGCTATCAGACTTTTTAGAAAATATTGTAGGTTTATTAATTTTAAGTGCATTTGAGTAAATAAACACTTAAATAGCTTGGTTCATTGTATCTGTTAGAATTAAGCTCATATTAAGTAACACTGCCACAGGAAGCATTTACTTGTAATATTCATGTATGGGGTATGTTGGATTTCATATTTTTATACCTTTTTTATATTTCCTATCAAGCATTCAAATGTCATGTTACGCAAAGTGTGTGTGTGTCTTTCTTCCAGGGTTGCACTATATTTATAGAAAATGTTTGCTAATTCTAACTAGTTGACCTTTGAATATAATCTCATATTAGCTAAGGATAATTTTACAAGTTCACATTTGATATTTTACAAGCAATCAAATCATGCCAGATAGCAGACTGATTAACATAAATAAAGCTAGAACATATTTCTTTAATGTAGACTT